CGGTCAACCGATTACTACCTAGCGGACGCTTGGAAGCTCGTTTTTGTGAAGATAGGGATGAGACGGAACTAGTATTTGAGCCCGGTGGTGTAGCTCTTGATGATTTCGGTGGTCTTCCTCGTCCTCGTTTGATTGTACGAGGTGGAGAAGGATCCTTCACCGGAACGATTGACTGCTCAAGCACAGAACAATCGGTGTCGGACATGATATCACACGGTGTGGGAGCAGCAATAGCAGGGGTAGTAGGGATTTGCGTATTCGTTGGTGAAGACTTGACAGGAACAGTCGGTGTTGTAGGTCCAGTGGATGCAGAAGCCTCCAATGGAGCAGTGCCAATACTAGCATTAGTACTGAGTGCATCGCTACCTGCAGATATAGACCGAGCGGCAGGGGAGTCAGCACGTATGGATGACGACACGGGAGACGGACAGAACGAAGTGTTCCGACGAGCTATACTAGCAGAACTCGGTGAGGACGAGGAGACCGTGGATAAATGAGGTGGGGAATTCGGAAGTGAGTTGTCCGATTCTGTGCTTCCCAATTGTGGAGGTGTCTGAGCTGAAGGACGAGGTGTTTTGCGTGGTCGACCACGAGGACGGACGGCAGGTTGATGTTTAGTCTTAAAAGATGAACCTGTTATATTTACGGATTTGGACGTCATTGGTGTACCTAAAGGACAAGAAGGAACCAAATATACAGTGTGACACATTGACTGGTACAACATATCACTCTAAGGTAGGCAAAATGAGTACATCAATCATGTACCAGCAATTTTCAGAGCCACAAAACAACATGGTGATCAATCGATCGTTTAAATACATCAACAGATGATTAGGAAACAAGTTATGTATTAGTTCCTCCCAATGGAAACAGCCAAGAATGAAAAGTGTATCTATAAACAATCGTCATCCAACAGAGAAATACGATCAATCGAAAGACGGGGATCAAATGAGCATGTGTTATTCCATACTAAGCTTGATCCTGTAACTAGCTTAGTTCAACCTTACAGATGAACTTTCAGTGCAGTCCGAACTGCAGTTTGATACTGTTTGATACAGTAGGAAAGGCGGATTGAAATGCCGAGGACATGCGAAGTATTAGCTCGTCCAAGAGTGAAATACTTTTTTATACTATTCGAAATTGACACGTACATAAGATTGTTTGCGATAATTGAAATGTTTTCACACTAATGTAACAGGTACATCGTCTGGCTCCAGTGTTATAAAAACTCCGGTATTGTGCAGAACGTGAACTTCATTTCATTCAAATAAGTCACCATTGTTGTCATGACGACATGAGAGAAAAAGGATCAAACGGTATATTCAATGTCTCCGTGCGTCGTCAATATATTCCAAAAATTATTGATTACCTATTCCGTTAACTTGAAATTTTATCCCTCGTCTTCTCTCAGTTTTATCGGATTCCTCAAAACATCAGTCTATATATGACAAATTTTAATTGACTAAATGCGGGTCAGATTCGACCAGCAATACAACAAATTACTGCAAGCTTCCTGGTTATTGTGACATAATCAAATATGGACTTGTTCATCCAGTGTGACGACGTGCGGTCGGTTTAGTGGATTTTCTGTGTCAAAACTCGTACAACGTCGAGTCTGCGCTCATTCGACTGTTCGGTGAGCTTTATCGTGTGATATCACTCTCTTGGAAATATACTCTACGTGAATCAAGTTTCGACCGTTCGGAGCGAATTCTCTATCTTATTCACGCGTGTAAGCTTGTTCAAGTTTCCACGCCATATCTTCACTGTGATACCATTTTAAGGAAAATTCTACGCTCTGTCCAGCGAGATTCTTTTTAGCTCTCTGGGATCATTTCTA